CCTAGGCCGAGAGTACCGGACTTTTCTTCTGTCCTAATTTACGAACGGTACTGAGACAAGCGTGACGACTGCAATCAACGGGGAACCCACAACATGATAATCTTCTCCCCGTAAAATACCCTCCCCCCCCCCCCTCTCCGCCCCGCTGACTGCCTACCGCCGAAACCCCCCCACGGGACTCGGCACCCCGGCGGAATCGGTAGACAGGGGAGAGGGGCGGAGCCGACATCAGTCGGCGAGATCGGAATCAAGCCCGCACAACCACGTTACCAGCGGCCGCGCTTCCCCCCCCGCCCGCCGTGGCCGTCCCGGTCTCGCGAGTCCTCCCCGCGCGACATGGGGACGCTCCTCGACACGTAGTGGTGCTGCGGGTGCCCCGCCCCCCCCTCGCCGCCGCCGCTGCCGCCCCCTAGCGGCGCGCTACCCGGAGGCACGGCGTAGTTGTGGTACTCGCCGCCGAGCACGGTGGACACGGGGGAGTGCGTAGACGGCCTCATGGGGCCGCGGGTGAACTCGTGCGACGCGACGCCTCCCGGGCGGGCCAACGAGCGGGGCTGAGACACGCTGCCGGGATCCCCCCTGCCGCCCCCCTGGTAACCCCCGCCGCCCGACGACTCCCCGTTGGAGGGGTTGTAGCGGGCGGGTCCCCCGCCGGGCCCGAGCGGGCCTGCACCGCCGCCGCCGCCGCCGCCGCCGCCGCTCCGACCGACGCCGCCGTAGTGGCCGTAGCCGCCGAACGAGCCGCCGGCGTGCGCGGACCCCGACATGGAGGACGAGCCACCGCCAGACATGGACGAGGACGAGTGGCCGAGCTTGGGGGCCGCTTGTGGGGCAGCGTACCGGACGTCTCCCCCTGCCATGGAGTGGGAAGGAGGCTTCTCGCTCAGGGGAGGGGATGACTTCCCGTAGTGGCCGCCGCTTCCACCGCGACCGCTGTCGCCTCGGTGGTCACCGCTGCGGTCGCCGCCGCCGCTGCTGCTGCCGTACGGCGGGTACCCCGCTCCGTTTTGCACGTGGCTGCCGCCGCCGCCGCCGCTGTAGCTGCTGCTGCTGTAGTGCCCCCCAGTCCCGCCGCCGCCTCGGGAGTAACCTCCGTGGCCGCCGCTGCCGATAGCGGAGCTACTGCCGTACCCGCCGCTGCCGCCGCCGCCGCCGTCGCCGCCGCGAGACGAGGAGGAAGCGTTGGCTCCGCTGCTGCCGTCGCCGTAGCCCCGGTAGGCGCCGTGGCCGGACCCGCGGTACTCGGAGCCCCCGTGGCCGTGGCGGTGGAACTCGTAGTCGTCGTCCGCATCGACGTTGTACGCCTTCATGGTGCCGTGGTGGTGTTGCGACCGGTCGTGTCCACCACCGGGCTGTAGTTATTGTCGGGGGCGGGAAAACATAAGGAGGACGTTAGGGGGGCGGTTGGAGATAATGGTACACAGGGGGAATAGTCAGCTCCAGTCGCCACGGAAGACAAGAGTCCGAGGTGCAACTCGTTTCCTTCACTTCGGCCTGATGCTGTTACTTCTTTGACGCGCCTGCTTCATCACACCTAGCAACGACATTTTCCATCACGCTTCGATCGCCCGGACAATCATTCAACCTTGGCCTCGTTGCCGGCCAGGACTACAACAAATCTCCATCACGCTTTATGCCGTATACGACATAAGATAACACACCCCCTGGACCGATTTTCAAAGCTTGGTTTCTCGACAGCAGAGAGAGTCACAGCGCCGAAAACGGCGTCGTTGAAGCCGTCTTGTCGAGAGCTTCCCGAAAATGTATCGTTTCGTTAATGCATGTTCTTCGTCGTGGCGTAATCGAGCTTTGAAAATTGGTCCAGGGTGTGTGTTATCTTGTGTCGTAAACGGTATAGGTCGCCCAGACGATCAAACCGCAGCCTAGTGAAGCAGACAGCAACATCTACCGCGCTCTGTTCTTATCTGTGTGCCCCCCCCCCATCACCCTCCGTCCTCTCGAAGACACGTTGTCAAAGGGTCTAACCGCTAAGCCATGCAAAACACCAAGTACGCTCCCCTTGTAACCTCAACCTCACCTTCGGGGGGTTTGCCAGCTCTTCTTCCCCCACGAAGGCCTGGGCGACGGTGTTGATGAGGCGGGTCTCCCTCTCGGATGACCTGGCGCCGCCGACGTGCTCCCCGACCACGTACTCCAGAGCCGACCGAATCTGCGTAGCAGCACGAGCGACACGTAGGGACACAGGGGGGTGATGTGGTTCTCGTTGTTTTGTTGCTGTTGTTGCTGCTGTCGTCTTGTTGTGCGTATTAACGTGTCTTACCGCGTGAGAAGTCCTACGGCTGGATTAGGGTTAGGGTTTAATAGGGTCTGCTGTTGCTGTTGTTGTTGTGGACATGTCCAACCGTGTGACAAGTCCCACGACGAAGCGCGGCATGGTGTGTCTCACAGCAGCGCCAACGGCAGCAACGTGTACAACGAGCGAACTGACTGACTCACGTCTTCGAGCGGGCGCCTGACGTCACGTCCGACGTCGAAGTACACCCACGGCTCCACCCCGGCGAAGGGGCCCACGCTGGGAGGGGCCTGGTACCCCTTCTTCTTGCCCTGCACACCAAATCACAAAAGTCAAAGAGTGGCGTTATTTAACCGGGGAAAAAGCAAGTGGGGGGGGGGGGGGGAGTACCGAGCTCGAACAAAAGCGACAATCCAGGCAACATCAAGGGGGGCAAAAGTGCCGAGCTCGAACGAATGCGACAACCCAGGCAACATCAAGGGGGGCAAAAGTGCCGAGCTCGAAACGACGCAACGATCAACGGCATAGCGGGTTCGGCGCCTTCTCTGTCCCTGCGTGCACATGAGTTTCCCGCTAGGTGGTGGTGTCGCAATGTCACCGCGGCAGCAAGGGAGGACTCGAAAAACATCCACACCCCTGCTGGCCGCGTATAACAGCAGCACGTCGTCGTAAGTTGGCCAGAGAAACAAAAACCAAGATCACCCTTCTCGCTAGCCTACCGTATCAGGCGGAGAGATGGCACCCCCCCCTAGATCGATTTTCAAAGGTCGATTGCTTCACACCCATGATTGTGCCAACACCCGAACATGGTGATTTTGGAAACATCTCGTCCAGGTCTGTCCGTCGACGTGTTCGGCTCTTTCCGCACTCCGGTGGTTGCGGGGCAATCGATCTTTGAAAGTCGGTCTAGGAGGGGTGCCAGCTCTCCGCCTCTTACGGAATACCATGGTACGGTATACGGTACGGTACAGGCAATCTTGGTCGTGGAGTAATCGAGCTTTGAAAGTCGGCCTAGGAGGGGTGCCATCTCTCCGCCTCCTACGGTGTAAGACCTCCCCGTTGAAAACCAGAGGGAGAGGAGGCACCAAGATAAGCGACAAGGTTTTCTTGTCGACCAATCTATCGCTTTCACACATCCCGTTCGACTGTGGGTATATAATAGTCTTTCTGTGTGTGTATTTATTTGATCCTAATGAAAGCACTGCTCTCGATGAAACTGCTGCCCACCTTCTTTTTCTTGCCTCCCCCCTGGATGTGTGGGCCAGTCACCAGCTTGTGGATCAGCTGCCCGGGACGTCCTGCCAATCAACGCGAGCCGACCGCACGATTCGTCCTAGTCTTAGCCGTCGTCATCGACTTTGCTGTTTTGGTCATTTCGTCTTTTTTTTTATTCTGCTGTCTTAATCTCGGACCATAAAAGTCAATGTCACTGGCCTTCGCCAGTACGTAGTTTCAGTCGCTTTTGTAGCGGTTATTTCTCGCTAGCAAGACGTTCGTTCCGACCGTGACACGAAACGTATTGGTTACGAACCGAGGCCGGGCGACCGTCGAATTCGTTCAAATAGAGGTATTTTCGATACACATGAGCCTCTGCTCTACCGCAAGGAGGCTTGGCTTCGCCAAAGCACGATCCGATCAAAAAAGTCTATTTTTTCTCTCTTGCCTACGTGTTGGCATCGTCTCCTCTGTTGTTGTAACCCTCACAACGTAACGTTTCTCTGCCCCCGCGCGCCCCTGTCTGTCTGTCTCACCAGGATCGCGTTGCCCCGCCCCGAACAGCAGCAGCGGCAGCGGCGCCGCCTCGGTTAGGTCGTAGATGAACAGGCCCCCCGGCGTGCGGCACATTTCGTGGTAGTAGGCCCACCGCCGGTTGAACGGGTTGCCCTCCGACGTGACGCTGGACGGGTGAGGGTTGAGCGTGCTGTGGTCCGCAGACAGGAGCTGTGTGTGTTTTTGTGTTTTTGTGGACGGTTGTTCCGGAGGAGGGGGAGGGGCGGGGGAGGGCAAGGGGGACTGATTCGTTAGAAGAGAGGCTCGGTGCCCCTTCGCAAGATGGCACCTTTAGTTCTGATGCATGCCACATAGGTGCAAAAGAGATACGAAGAAACGCTTCAAAGAACAGGCAACTATTTCGGAAGAAGGGAAGGGGAGAAAGTAGAAGCGAAGAAACGCATGGTAGACCAAGCAGATACCGCGGGGGGGGGGAGAGGGTAGCGACAAAGAAGCATGCGATATCAAAGCCAAAGCGAACAAGGCGCTGACCTTGAACTTCTTCTTGCCGTAGTCCACCCGCACGAGGTTGGGGTACAGGCCGGAGCACATCGCCGCTCGCACGACCGGCCAGTACTTGGGCATCCTGAACGAAAAAAGCGAAAACACACAAGCAAGGTCACATGCCATCATGAACTCATATGCTCTGATTTCTGGCGTCTGTAGGTTTTGTGAAAAAAAAAGAGAAAGGATATCGCGCGCGACCCAAAGGTGGCAACCAAAATCATTGTTAATTAGAGTACCGGTTTCTGAAGCCTGTATCTATGGGGGTAGAGACGAACTTCAATTTGTTTCGGTTTTGTACGAAAAACACAAAAAGTACATTAAGGATAACGCTCGCGACCCACAGAAAGTAACCAACAACAACTTGCGGTAGGATTACACCATTACACCCAGAACACCACCAGAAAACCATCTAAAAGCTGCTGGCCCCAATTCGATGATAACGCGGAGCCCCCCACACCAACGGTACCACTGCTACTGTGCGTCTGTCTCGACAACTCACTCCGAGTGGCGGTTGAGCTCCGCGAGCTGCTCCCTGTCTCGCGGGATGAGTCCCGCGTCGCGCAGCAGAGTCTGGAACTGCCCTCGGACATCAGAGGCGGTCCTGTGTTGGCCGGAAAAAGAAAAAGAAAAAACGTCGCTGTGAATCCACGGCTAATCTAGCGTAGTCGCATTTCTATGGACAGAGATGGAATCGTTGTCATATTAAGAAACAATACAAAAAAACACGGCCGGGAACACAAACACACACAAACAAACGACAGGAAACGTGAACGGCGCGTAACGAGAGGAAGAAAAGCTTCACTTTCATCGCTCATTTGTGTGTGACGGTGCTGGGATATATGGTCATGTGCAACAGAGGTGTAATCCCGAGCGAGCGAAGAGAATATGCACCAAGGAATCCTGCAGAGATTGGTTGAACAAGTACAGCAGCATCTCAGCAACGTGCATATCATACGGACCATGTACGTTGGTGGAAGAAAGTCACGCGGCGGGAGAGGTGCCCACACCATGAATCGAAGCGATCAGGGTCTTTCGGCCAAAGGTTGAGCGACAAACGACAATAAAACCAACTCTAACGACCATGGCCGATACAAAAACAACAGCAACAAAAAAGCTCCACGCTTTATCACTACCGCCAACCTCTCATTGTGTTCGGAGCAGCCGGCATTCGGATCCCTGCCGTGGTACCACATACACAGCTCTCCTCCGATAAGGCTTCAGGCAAGGCGGGAAGGCTGTATCGAGTTTCGTGCAAAAGCCGCTCACCCACTTCGACCTCGCAGCTGACGCCACCTTCTCCTGCTGCGTATCAACCCCCAGGTGTGTACTTGGATACAACGCATGTGTACTTTTCGTCGTGTACCGGTACCAGTTAAGATCCACTACAATCGACTACTACTCGTTGCTGCCGCTACTGCCCTTCATGAAGGATGCTCTACGACATGGCTGAGACACGCTGCAAACGGTCTCGACGACACTCTTCGACACGCGCCGTTCCAAGAAAAACAGGGAAGTTCTACCTACATTGACTGCAACGCTACATCAAACGGGATTATGGATATCTAAACAGATGGCTACATTGACTGACTGCTGTGCTAACCGCCGCCTGTTCATTTGCCTCCCTGATACGTTTACACACAACAAGTACTAAACTCCATTGCTGCAAATCAGCATCACTCCTAACCTACTATCCTATGTAGTCCTCTCCCCTTCAACGCGTTTCACCTACACTCATCACACACCATGAACAACAACATAACATTGTCGGTTTCAAAATGGGCGGGAAACAGCTACATTCAAATCTAGAGTACAACTCCCCAAAAAAAATGTGGTGGGTGTACAACAGTCCTACTGCTGTACATACTGTAGTCTATATTGAAGTCGCCTAAAACAGCAGCGAAATACTTTCTGAAAACAGCAAGTTGTCAAATATAAAACTGCGCCATGTTCCCTGTGAAGGCCACATTCTACATAAAATTAAGAATGTACCCGCCTATACAGATGCTTTTGTTCTTAGCACCAACTGGCATCACTGATAACGCAGTGTTAGGCTTACACAAACTCAAAATAAGCCAAGTCTCCAGTCGGTTTCAATCCACTTACTGAAAAGACTTCTCCACATCCCTTTCGACAGACTGTGGTTATATTTCGAACGGGTAGTCTTTCTGTGAGGTTATGTTTACTTTCTAAAAAAAGGAAGAACCAACACCACCCAACCCCAAAGAGAGAATATCATTAGACAAGCTTACCTGAGGGCGGACGGCGACAGGAAGTTGACGTGACAGAACTCCTGCTGGTCTCTTCGAGGGCACATTCGCCACGCTTCGTAGGCGTTGTAGAGGCACAGGTGATCGCTTGGCTCTCCCTGACAAAACACCACACGAAACACAGGTCGGGGAGGGTTAGAGAGTGATGTACTTGCGGCAGCGAAGATGAAGATGAGGTTTTGACTGCGGGTTGGTCCCGAAAGAGCACAAAAGAATTATCAACACATTAGTCGACAAAATAATTACAACATTTCGGAGTTTATTTCTTGGGTAAATTAACGTTGGCGTAAACAAGCATAACTTCAATTACGTATGCCATGAGTCAGAAACAGGCGGTCCCCCACTCGAAAATAAACCAAGTAGGTGCTTGAAAGATAGCAGCGACAAACCCTCGCCACTTGAAGATTCTGCGACGATTCCACTATTTAATCGACGTCTTACAGCGAGCGTGCTACCTGAACAGAACGCCGATGCTACACGAATTAACAACACAACGGTTTCATCAACATCGGGTGCACGTCCCTTCCTCCGCCTGGTCCTCCTCTGCCATCATTCTTGGAAGCCTAGAAACAAGACCATCGATGACGATCGTATGCAAAGCAACACCCACATCCTAGAAAACTCTGTGCATATGCATACAACACCTCGATCGTATGCATAGCAACACCCATATCCCAGAAAACTCTGTGCGTACAACCTTTATACATACACTTCAACAGGTACTTTAAATGAGCACCTGAGCGAACCGCCGCTTCGCTTGGTCCGCCTCTTCCTTCTTGCTCATGGGCATCACGAACGGGTTGCGCTGGCTCAGCAGGGCCGCGATGGTCAGCACGGGGTCAAGACACCCCAGCATGCAGCCCAGAACCAGGGCCTTGCCGATCTGCGGCTCCACCGGTAGGAGCGCGAGGTGCTTACCCTGTTCCAAGTATTCAATTGCATAGGCGCGTGGGTGGGAGCGGTGATAGATCAAAGCGCGTAATAATTGTGCCGTTTTGATGTGTGGTTCCTGGGGGAGTTAAGCCTGTGTGTTCTCCCTGTGCAGATCCAGCGCAGAGCGGGAAAACAAGGTTGAGACGACATAGCCCATGACGACAAACATTCGAGGGCAACACTTTGTATCATTGTCATCATAATCACAGCAGCAGTAGCACCACCACCAACAGCAGCAGAAGCAGCAACAACAGGCACGATGACGACAGGACCAGCGTCATCAATCCACTCATCACTAACCACGGCCCCCATCACCAGCTACCGTAGGGGCAGCACCATCACCAACAACAACATCACAACCACCACCACCAAAAAGAGCAACGCCATCACAACTCACAAGAGGCGTAAGGCTTTCGTTCGTCCGGAAAGCACCGATCCGCGTAAGCAGCGTGAGCGCATTGTCCAGCGCGACCACCCCTGGCGGCGTGAGGGCCTTGTTGATGAACCCCGCGACGCCCCCCTTGCCCCCCGCTGCCAGACCAAGATGTCGCACCTGT